GAATATTACATACTTAAACCATAATCAAACTCTAGCTATAATCCTAGCAAATCACACAACAACCAAAATCAAGACTAAATAGTTTATTACTGACCATTTGAGACTTCTGCCGCACGAATAATGGCAGCAATGATATCTTTATCACGTAAAGTCGTCTGAGAAGAAACACAAATACTATAAAGCAAAGGGAATATCTCCTTTTTGTTATTCCGCTCCAAAAACACCTTCAATTCCTGCCCAGTACTGTACCCTTGCAGTTTTTGGCCATTCATTTCCGAACTTTCAATCTCAACAATTGTCTGCCCAGTCTCAACCGCCTGCTTAGTAAACCGAAAGTTTCGACCACTCGTACAAGTCACAATCAAATCAGCCACCACACATGACTCCAAAAACGCACGTGAAACCATTTCAGCCGTACTATTAGCCCCAATAAACTCATCACAAAATCGAATCATCTCCAGCAACCCATTCCTAATTATAGCTGCAATCGTATTACTACCCTGACCATTACCAGACGCAATACCACAACCCATAGCCACTACGTTCTTCAAAACACCGCATACTTCCGCTACTCCATGAACCGGCAAATAACGCACACTGAAATACTCCGTCGTAAATAAATGCACCATACTCATTCCCACCTCTTTATCCCCACCACTAATCGTTGACTCACTAAAGTACTCCATCGCCACATCCTTAGCAATATTCGCCCCCATTAAAGAGCATACTTTTATCCCCAACCGCCTACTCAGTAAATCACTGATCAAAACCAACCTATCTTCTTCAAAAAACGCACCTTTAATCAGAGTCACCCCTATCGCACCCGGCTTAACCACCCCAACAATCTTATCTAAACACTTATTCAGAAACTCATGCGGCATCACAAAAACCAATACATCCGCCCCTTCCACCACCTTCTCAATCTCAGGCACAGCCACAACATTCATCGGCAACTTAATCCCAGGCAAGTACTTCACATTCTCATGATCCTCATTAATAATCCGCGTCAATTCCTTCCCAGCAACCATCTCCTCAAAAACCCACATCTGTACACTCTTATCATACCCAGATATACGCTGCACATTTTCACCCACTAGTTTAGCAATCGCACTGCCCCAATTACCACTCCCAATAATTCCCACCTTTTTCTCATTCATACAAACACATTCAAATCCAATTATTTCAAAGTCTCACCTATCAACCAATCCCCTTTATTTACCCCTAAAACATACCCAAAACCAACCCAATACTAACCCAAACTTAACCACTACCCAACCCAGTCCAAACCAACCCCTTCTAACCCTATCTAAAATTCCAATCCAATCTAAAATTCCGATTATCTCGTATACAATAGCCTAACTGACGTAAAAATTTGCAATGGATAGTACATATAAGCTGCCAATTCCAAGTTCATTAAGTTCAGGGAGTAATACTCCGTTTACTATCAAGAAAAGGAGGTATGTTAGAGCCAAGAAATCTTTCAGTCTTTTGTCTACGCTTTTTTTGGCCATTGTAATCATAAATATCATTGAAGATCGCTACATTGCCCACAACAAATTAGAGATTGAGTACTCGATTATTAGATCTTTCCCTTTGAAGACTTACAGTCGCTTACAGGGGTTTATTTGTCGTATCAAGTATCCCTGGCCTTTAAATCTAGCGATAGTTGGTTTATTCAAAAACTTAGTGGGTATCTCTCTAGTAGATGCTGAACGGAGTAGTTTAAGAGAGTACTCATCTATTAATGATTTGTTTACGCGTAAGTTGGCCCAAAGTGCACGGCCATTAGGTAGGGGAGTTATTTCACCAGTGGATGGAACAGTGATGTATGCAGGTGAGGTAGGAGGGAGTAAGCAAAAGATTAAAGGAGTGGTTTATCGTGAGGAAGACTTAGTGAATTTAACGGCTTTTCCGTCCAGACAAAAAGTTGATAACAAAATGTACCAGATTGTGATTTACTTATCTCCAGCTAATTATCATCGGTTTCATACGTTTTTAGACTTTCAGTTGGAGGAGATTAAGCATGTGCCTTCACAGTTGTTTTCAGTTGGGAAAGGTCCAATGCGGTATCTTAAAGGACTACTGTCTAAGAATGAACGGGTGGTCTTTAGTGGGCGGACTTGTTGGGGGTATGGGGCCTTGGTAGCGGTCGGGAGTACGGGGGTAGGAAGTATTACCACACCTTTTGCGCCTATCAAGACGAATCGGTTCTTTCAACAACAAAGTGATATCAAAAATTATCCGGTTAGTTTCATGTTGGGCAAAGGCGATGAGTTGGGTAACTTTAACTTAGGATCAACGGTCGTGCTTTTCTTTGAGGCACCAAGTGAGTTTGAGCTGACTTGTTCGGAAGGTGTAGTCCGATTAGGAGAGTCTTTAGGCGAGGT